GTAAGTTTGGTGGGAAACTGCTGCTGTAATTTCCTTTTTTAACTTTCACAGCAATAGTGCACAATCCAGAATGGATGTCCTCGTTGTAGCCATCCTCGCTGTGCCACTCATCCTGGGTAAGTCCACTCCTCTCCCTGAACTTTTGGGTCAGGTCTTCTACCATAAATGGGGTGAGGGAAAAAAATGAGGAGAGGGTGAGAAGTGCAGTCCAACGAGAGTAGTGCTCTTTCTGCTGTGCTAGACTCCTGTGTTCAGTGAGGAGGAGGAGGAGAGGAAGGGGAGATCTGAAAGGTAGAGCCAGGAGAAGGGGAGAAAAGCAGAATCCTGTCAAGGAAGAGAAGATCGATGAGAGTTGGAGCCCCAGACATGGGGAGGTCCTAGCAAGACTGAACTCAGTTCTTCATCACCACAGAGTTGAGCAAGATGAGATGGACTAAAGAGAGAGTGAGGGAGAGAGGTGGACTCTTTGAGGGTGGGCAGCCTGAAATTAGTGAGGGAAGCGAGGGTCTCTCCTTCCCCAGAGAGTCGAAGAAGAAACCTTGTATTAGTTGTTGTTGTTAGGAGCTGTCGAGTCAGTTCCAGCTCATAGCGACCCCGTGTACAACAGAACAAAACACTGCCTGGTCCTGCCCCATCCTCACAATCTTTGCTATGTTTGAGCCCATCGTTGCAGCCTTTAGAGAAGTGGAGAAGTGACTGCCTTCAGAGACAGGGTCCCAAGAGTAGCTGGCTCCTTCCCTTCTTTGTTCCCCAGTCTGCCAGGTGCGTCTCATTGTTTCCTTTTCCTCCATATTCCTATGTCTTTAGCTTGGAGTTGGAGGGAGAACATTTAAGGAGCTTAGGGAAGTGTTCAGCAGGAGGCCTAGAGTTCTTGATTCAGTCATATCAAAGCCATGTATTTTTAGTTTTGAAAAGGAAGAAAAACTAACGGAGATGGGTCATCTAGCATGACTGGCTCATTTGAAGAAAGCGGATGTTAACTGGCTCGTCCAGGACTGTTCTGCTAGTTAGCAGTGAAGCGGAATCTGAAATGCATATCTCCAAAGCCTTAGGTGTGTGTTTACGTTGTGTGTGTTATTTGTGAGAAACTGATAAAACAAGATTTCTCACAAATACAATGAGGTCTGGAGCATACTGGGTAGAAGAGTTGGAGTTTTTGATTTCTGGTCTCTCTCTGCTTCTTACTCACTTTTTAAGGCTTAGTTCCATCCATTTTCTGTTCTGGGAGCTCCTGGATCCAAAGATATAGAGTAACAAGCCTCATCACAGATATGGAGCCGAGGAGACTGAGAAGGGTTTAGAGGTGCAGAAGCAGGGAGATAGCATGACCCTTGTAGGGGAGGCAGAGAGAAAGGAACTGATAGTGCTGGAATTGGCTCCTGGTGTCTTTCTGTTGCTAAGAAGTTCCAGAGGCCCTTTGACCACTAGCTCTTGTCCCCACAGGACAAGAATATGAGCATGAAGAAATACTGGAAGAGGATGATTATTATCAGGTGATCTATTATTACACTGTCACCCCCAATTACGGTGAGTATGTGTAAGGGTCTGACCCTTGGCAGCATGAAGACGGCCTTTAAGAATGCCTGGTTCTGAGCCTTTTGCCCTTTGCTTTTTGCAATGGAGCAACTGGGTCAGAGAAACATTTGGCTGTGAGCAAAGATCATCAAGACTCATGGTGTTATTTTTCAAAGCTAGTGATTTCCAACTCTTTGGAAACTGGTTAAAACAATTTGAAAAAAATTCCAAATTTGTAAATTATTTTAGATACCAGATTAAAAAAATATAAACCTATACACACTCACAAACATTTCTGACATTAATTTGGATTTGGATTATAAATACATTTTACAACTTGAACAATTTCAGAGCAATTTCGTCCTTTTCTCATTTCTGGATCCAGGCTTACCTTGTCTCCTCTATTACTGCTGGTTTTTTTCTGCTCCCCAGATGACCTTGGTGCAAATTTCACCATTGATTACTCCATGTTTGAGTCAGAGGACAGGCTGGTGAGTGACCTCTCCATCTGAGAGTCTGCGTATAGAGGGTCAAGCTAGGAAACCGTTGTCGAAAGGAAAATTTGATCAACAAGTCAATTAGAATTAATAGGGTTTACTGAGGCAAGAAGCTGTTTTCAAATAGGGGGCATCTGAGAAAAAAGTTGCAAGGTGCTCCTTTAGGTAGTATGAATACAGGGTTTTTAAAGGAAGTGACAGGGTTTCTAACAGGGAAGTTATAATAATTGGATTTTTTTTTTTTTTTTGACCAACAGTAGCTTGTTTATTCATTTCCCAAACTTATATGTAGAATTTGCCGCCTGGTTTCTTGGTCACCTAGTGCTGCTGTCAGACTAGTGCCACAAGCGGGTAGATTTAAAGAACACAAATCTATTCTCTCACAGTTCAGGAGGCTGAAAGTCCAAATCAGGGCCTCGGCCTGTCAGACCCCTGGGTGTTCCTTGGTTCCTTGGTGTTCCTTGGCTTATAGACGATCCCCATAGAGCGCCTTCATTCCCCTGTGTATGTCTGTGTCTGTTATGCTCTTTTGATTGGATTTTAGATATGTCATTAATTAGAGGGAGGGTCTTACAGAGCAGAAGTCTTCTCGTCATTTGTATAATACTTGTCTGATGAGAACTGGAAGTCTGGTACAGTGAGTCAGAAACATTTTTAATTATCAAGTTGTTCTTTTTAGAAAGCATCTACAGTTAGAACACTTTGAAAATTCTCTGTTGTTCTGTCAAGGTTTGCACCTGGTACAAACAGCCATTTTGATTGATTCGTTTTAAGAAAGGTTATTGCATCTGCCAAAATGGCCATTAATTTTTAGTTTATATTTAACACAATTTAAAGAAAAAAGCAACAACAAGAGAGTCTATGAGGATGCTGGATCGAGGATCTGATAACTCTGTTTTCCAATCCCACTGAGGGCAGAACAGGTTGGATAAGGAGGTAACGGAAGCAGGAGAGACTAACATTAATCTTGAAACCGAAGCAGGAGAGACTAACCTTAATCCTGAGACAGAACGTCAAGACCATCTGAAGCCTGTAACAAGGAAACCAGCGACAATGGAAACTGTGAGTGAATTGGGGATTAGGGGGGAGGGAGACTGATGGAGACATCCATTACCCAGGATAGATCCCAGGGAGGGTGACATGGAGGAGAGAGAGGGTCGGAGACCCAGGCTTCAGTGAATGTAGGAACTAAATAACAAGTACTGCAATGTAGATGTTCACGTCAACTTGGCCATCATATTTTTCACTGAGATTTAATACTAACCCTGTGTACAGAACACTAGGAAAATCTGATGCAGTTAAATTTCAGTTCAACAGCACTTAAAGCATATGTAACTTATGCCTAAGACTGCTGAGGATGCAGGTGATTATGAAAAATAAATCTATGATGTTATTAGTGTCCTCAAGGACTTATTACTCAAGTTTACATGTATGAAACATTTAGAACAAAACAAAAAGATATGTAACGATGTTAAATTACATATAAGTTTGAGAGTATATGACATAGACAAGTGTTTTAGGTAGGGGGAGGAGAGAGATCAGTATCAGCTGCAGTTGTCTGGAACGCTTTTGTGAGGCAATTGTGCTTAAGATTCACCTTGAAGAATAGCTGAGCTTTTAAGTGGTGGAAAGTTATGAAAGAATTAAAGTGATCAGGAAGAAGGATGGTTATTCCAAGAGTGAGAGAGCCTAGTAGAAGGCTAGGGGGCTAGAACAAGTATGGTATGTGTAGTGAATGGGGTATGATTGAAGGAGAGGATATATGGAGGGAAGCAGTGGGAACACTAAGAAAAAATAAAATTTTCAAGACTCATAATATTTGCTTAGGGATCCCTGGGTGGTGGAATGGTTAAGTGCTTGACTACTAGCCAAAAGGTGGGTGCTTCAAACCCACCCAGAGGCGCCTCAGAAGTCAGGCCTGGCAGTCTGCTTCTGAAAGGTCATAGGGTTCTCAAGCAGTTCTATTCTGCACACATGGGGTCACCAGGATTCAGAATCAACTCTATGGCAACTAACTACAGCACTAATATTTGTTTAGTGATTTCATATGAAGCAAGATAGGCCAAATCATAATCGGTCTGGAGTATCAGACTGAAGTTTGGATTTTATCTCGTAGGAAATAGGGAACCTAGTCAGCTCTTCAGTATGGTAAAGACACAATAAAGTGGTATTTTAGAAAGACTGGTCACCTGGCTGTATGCAGGAAGCAGTGGAGTGGAGAGAGATCTGTGTGAGATTTGCATTATTCCGGAAACAATCTGTCAAGGGCTGTCCTAGTCATCTAGTGCTGCTGTAACGAAAAAGCACAAGTGGATGGCGTTAACAAAGAGAAATTTATTCTCACACTGTTCGGATTCTGAGTGGAAGCCCCTAGGCTCTGGGCTTCAGCTCTGCCTTCCAGGCCCACTGGGACAGCAACTCTGCTCCCTCAGCTTTAGGCACACCATTCTCTTAGTCCATCTGAGTGGTGACTCCACCCTTAGAAACACCAGAGGTCATGGCTCCACTCTTTGAAACCCCACAGGTCATGGCCATACCCTTTGAGACTGGAGCAGCTCGGCTTCCTGTGTTCCTTCTCTTTTCAGCTTCTGCTTCCTGGTTCCTTGGCCTCTTGGCTCCTTGGGCCTCTCCACTCGTGTCTGCCCTGCTGGGGCAAGTGTTCCCAAGCTCTGTAGCTCCACCAGTAAGTGCCTGGAGGCACCCCACTCCACCAGGAAGCCTCCTGTGCAAAGGCACTCAGCTCTCTTGGGTCGGCTCCTGGTTCTACTGCTGCTGGTTCTCTGCTGCTACCGGTTCTCCGCCGCTGCTTCTCACCGTCTGCACCATCTTCAGTGTTACCAGCTCTCCTCACATCCTTCTGAGTCCTCTATCCGTTCACAGTTTCAAAACTACTTCCACATTTTAGGTATCTGTTAGCGCAGCACCCCACTCTCTCGGTACCAAATTCTGTCTTCGTCATCTAGTGCTGCTGTAACAGAAATACCACAAGTGGATGGCGTTAACAAAGAGAAATTTATTCTCTCACCATCTAGAAAGCTACAAGTCCAAATTCAGGGCATTAGCCCCAGGGAAAGGCTTTATCTTCTTGGTCGGCTATGGAGGAAGGTCCTTATCATCAATCTTCCCTGGTTGAGGAGCTTCTCAATGCAGGGACCCCAAGTCCAAAGGATGCTTTATGCTCCCAGTGCTTCTTTCTTGGTGGTATGAGGTCCCCCTTTCTCTCTGGCTTCTCTCTTTTATATCTCAAAGAGATTGGCTCAAGACACAGTCCAATCTTATAGATTAACTCCTGCCTCATGAACATAACTGCTGCCTATCCCACCTCATTAACATCGTAGAGGTAGGATTTACAACACATAGGAAAATCACATCAGATGACAAAATGGTGAACAATCCTAGAATACTGGGAATCATGGCCTAGCCAAATTGATACACATATTTCCTGGGGACACAATTCAATCCATGACAAGGGCATTATGAATGGAGAGGAAACAAATAAATATTTTGAAGAAAATGTCTTGCTTCAGTGATAATTTCATATAATGAATAGATGAGAAGAGAGTTAAACTAACACAGGTTTTGAACATGGATGTCTAGGAAAATGGTTGAACAAAATGGGAACTGTGGTTTAGAGGATAGTTATGAATTTGGTGAATTTATGGTGACAGCCTTGTGAAGATGTCCTAAAGGTAGCTGAACTAGGTCAGGGCTAGAGTTCTAAGTTCAAAGTCACATTTATGAAAGTAGATGAGCCCAACAGAGCCGGTTTACACAGAAGACAAGAAGGTCAGGGAGTGTGTCTGTAGTTAGGAGGAAGAAGAATCAACCAAGGAAATAGAGAAGGACAGATTAGAAAAGTAAGCACATAGCCAACCTTAGATTACCAATTCAAGAAGAGAAAGTTGAATATGAATATAATCAATCAAAAGCTACCAAGAGGCAGAGTATAAGGAGGCTATCGGTAACCCCAAAGCAGTTTTAATTGAGTCGTTGGAGCAAAACCTAGATTTTTGTGGAGTTAGAGAAAGAGTAGATTGGGAGGAAATGGAGGCAAAGTAGATACCAACCTGAGAAGTCCGGTGATGAAAGCAAGAGCAACAACGGGAAGGTCAGCAGGACCTTGAATGCAGATGGCAGGAGCTAGAGGGATGGAAGGCTGAAGATTGCCAACAGGGATAGATAAATCTTTTAAAATATAAAGTATAGTCTTCCTTTATGTTGCAAACTCCTTGAGGTCAGGGACCATGTCTTAATCATATTTATATCTCTCCTATAGGAACTAGCTGAGCCTTGGTGGCATAGTAGGTAAAGCGCTCTGCAGGACAAAGATGCGGCAGTCTGCTTCCATAAAGATTACAGCCTTGGAAACCCTACGGGCAGTTCTACTCTGTCCTGTAGGGTCACTATGAGTCGGAATTGACTCGACGGCAGTGGGTTTGGTCTTGGTTATAGCACTTAGCAAGGTCCCCAGGTGGCCCAGTTTGCTCTCAGCTACTAGTCAAAAGATTGGCAGATGGAACCCACCCAGCAGCACCATGATCTGCAAACCCATGGCAATGGGTTTAGTTTTCTTGGTTTTTTTTTTTTTTTTTTTGATAGCACCTAACACAGTGACTGGCATAGCAGCATGCACATAATAGACACACAATAGTTACCACTGAATTGAATCGGGACCACCAGTATGGTGAGAGGTGGCTGGAAGGCACTGTAGAAAGGACTTCTTTCAGTGATGGGGAGGAGGGCTGAATCTGTCTCTAAGCCTGGCGGAAAGGGAGACAGACTGAGGAGGGTGTAAAGAGGGTGGCTGTTCTTCCTGGGGTGGGGGCGGGAGATAGGGAGGATGACACAGGCCTGCTGTGGGGGAATGTCTGTATTTTAGCAGAGTCCAGATCTGAAAGATGCTGTGTCCAGTCTGCAGAGTCCTGTCTCCCTCATCCTGTCCTGGGCCCTCATTCAGGGGGGGATGTCCTTCACGTAGAAGGTGAGAGTGCAGCCACTGTGAAGTCGTTTTTACCAGTATTTCTGGGCAGTGTTTCCAGCCTGGTCACTTTTCAGTTCCTTAAGAGGGATCACGTGTAGAAAAATCTTATTGTCTAACCTAAAGGAAGTGGGAGGATAACTGTCTGGGAGATGTTGAGGCAAAGACTTTTACAACGAGTCACTAATTTTTCTGAGCTGGGAGGACTTCAGGACCTCCTAGATCAGGGGCAAAAAGAATGAGGAAACCTCTCCAGGTTTCCAGTCGGCCTAGGGGATCAGAGCTGGTTCCAGCCTGGCCCTGGCTGAAGGCATGGCAGGTGCCAGAGGGTAAAATGTGCAGGGCCCTGCAACCACAGAGTCTAAAGGCAAAGTTCAGAGGCTTACGGCCTGATGGTTCCCTACAGAAGGGGAGAGACGGTGGGGAAAAGGAAGAGGGAGGAGAAAACTGTATTATAGGGATTCTAAATAACTATGGGGGTATGAAGAGGAGTGAGGAGGGAAGGGGACACCACATCTTCCAGGAGACACCACCAGGTCAGAGTATGAAATCTAGAGAATTTGCATGGGGGGATGGGGGGGGCACAAACGGACTTCCTGGACCTCCTGATTCTCCCCTCCCCCTTCTTTGCTTTTTAGGAAAGAAGGCTGCTACAACTCCTTGGATGGGAATTTGGGGGAAGGAAATTGGAAGATAAAATAAAGAATACAATAAACAATCTGGTTATTCTCCTACTCCTCCGTGAGGGTGTCTTCTAAAGCCACAACACTGAAGAGAGCACCAAGATTTGGGGGTGGGAAGGGTAGATCAGAGAGGGAGTTAAACCCAAAAAAACCCACTGCTGCCGAGTCTACTCTGACTCATAGCGACCCTATAGCCCAGAGTAGAACGGCCCCCACAGGGTGTCCAAATAGTGGCTGGTGGATTCCAACTGGCCGAGCTCTTAACCACTGCGCCACCAGGGCTCCATCCCAGGGAGCGAGGGCGTCCTAACTTTTTGGGTCTGAAGCCAGCACGTTGTCTATGGTTGCTCTTCTTCAGTCTTCCCAAATGTTCAGGTTTATTTACAGTCTATAAATTCTATTGTTTTATGTATTATATATGAGGTTCAGACATTTTGTTTGGGGAAAGGGCGTTGAGGTTTATTTAGAAGCCCCCCTTCTTTTTTAAATAAAATAAGCACATTGTTAAACATCTGTACAACATTCAAAACTACTAAGAACAGATTTAAAGTATTCACATCCTTCTCGCCTGCCCCCCTCCCCACCCCACAACACCTTGCAGATTCGTTTTTTTTAAATCCTCTATCTTTGGGACCCTAACCAGAACTGGACTGCCCCCTTGCGGTCTCTTCAATGTCGTATCTTCAGCCAGCCCACGGGGCCAGGGTTCCGCTCGCCTTCTCTCAATACCGCAAGAGGAAACGAACAGTAACTTCCCAGTTACTTTGAGTCTGTAAACTCCGGACTATTTCCTCTCCACCTTCAAATCCTGTCGAATCTTCTCCAGCAGACAAATGAAGAAACTAAAGCTGGAAAAAGCCATATCCTAGGAGATCGAAGACCTACCCCACTCCGTCCCCGTACTCGGAATCAGAGAATTTAGGGCTCAGGGTTCGAGGAGCCCGGTTAGAAAAGTCAGGAACAACCAAGTTCGGCTTTGACCTCTAGAGTCGTGGCAGGTTGGCATCTGTGCTAGTAACGTGCGTGGCAGGTTATGTAAGGCAAGGGCTGGAGGAGCCGCCCCAGCAGACGCCCGGGAGAGGACGCGGTGTTCTCGGCGGCAGTCCCCACCCTCCTCACTGAGCAGAGCAAGAAGCACCCAACTTGGTGGAGAAGGAGGAGGAGGGGAGGCTAAGACAGAGACCGGGAGTCACGAGTGCTGGGCCGCCCACAGAGGGAGACGATACACAGTGTCACACATCCATTCTCTCACACGTTGCAGACCCAAGTCGCTGATGGGTTCCACGTGCTGCACTCGTGAGCAAATGCGCTCACAGAGGAGGCTGAGGGGTAGGCTACAGAGGCGGAGCCGGGGGTATCCGGTCCTGACGCGCGCCCCTTAAGGCGCACATCCACTCTCCGCGCACTTCAGCCGCGCGTCTCCGGCGCTTCACCTTCCTTTTTAAGGCCATGGGCTCCGCCCTCTTCCTCCTTTCCCTTTTCCACTCTTTTTCCTCTCTACCCTCTCCCCGCCCGCCCCCTTTCATCACCCGGTCCTCTCCCGGAGTCGCATGTAGGGGCGGAGCACGGAATACTTCCCTTGCAGCCAATCATCACCTGGCTGCCTCCTTATTGGCCCAGACCCTGAGTGCTGTAGCAAGTGGACTGTGAACTTCGGTAACCAGAGTCACGTGTTACCAGCTCGGCAACCAATGAGGGTGCGAGGTCTGTGTACACAGGGGGAGGCACGTGCCGAGTCGCACGTGTCTGGGCGGGGGAAGGGGCGGGACCCACCCAATGAGAGAGGCGGAGGTGGGTAGCGGAGAACGAAACCAGGAGGAGAAGCTGGGAAGAAGCCGGAGACAGCTTGGGCTCAGCTGACCCGCGCAGGTGAGGAAACTTGGAGCGCGGGCAGGAAGCCGCGCGAGAGGACTAGACCCTCAGGGAGTGGGTTTTGGGGACCGAAGGGGCACATCTTGGTACGGGGAGGATCGCCTCATGTAGCAGGCGCGACCGGAGAGGGACCGGCAGGGATCTTGATCTTAAAAGATTGGGAAGGGGCAAGAGACTGGTCTCGGGGGCGCGGTTCCCACAGGGTCGAGAGGTGGGTTCGGGTGCCTAGACCTGCCCGGATTTACTGCTCGGCCCGCGGCATGACCTCAGGTAGGGAGGCTCCCTCCGGGAGCAGCCAGGGGAACAGCCGAGGCGAGCAACGGGCAAGGATGGGGTCGGGGAGAAGGTGCCCAGTCAGGTATTTCCTCTGAACTGAGGGAGACCAGAGAAGCACTCCCCAGGTGGGGAGTGAAGACGGAGATGATTTTTTCTGTTGTCTCTGAAACGTGTATAACTGGGGAAAGGGAAGAGGTATTATTACCCGTGCAGTACATTCCAGTCTCCTGGTCCATTTCCTCCTCCGCGGGCTTTGGTTTCAAAGTCCCCCGCTTTGCTCTTCACTTGCAGGTCCGATCTTTGGGTACTCCAGGACCTGCTCTCCAGCCCCTGCTTTCGGACCTATGGATTCTCCATCTACTGTGTCTTCCTATTCTTCCTTCTCCCTCTCTTCTTTTTCCACCTCACCAGCGAACAGTGACTTTGGCTTCCCCTGTGATAGCGAAAGGGAGGACAAGGGGGCTCCCGGGCTCAGGCCAGACACTGTTGGTCAGAGCGGAGGTTCTCGGCCCAGCCCTGGTCCCATCCGTTGCAGGCATCGACCCAAGGTTTCCAGTAACCAACAAACAGCATCTCACCCGGCACAGCGGGGCTTGGCTTCTCCTATGGCAGGCTCTAGGGTCAAAAGATCAAGAGATGGTGAATTGGAAACCAGTCTAAACATCCAGGGTTGTACCACAGAGGGAGACCTGCTCTTTGCTCAGAAGGTAAGAGAAAACAGGGGAAAAGAAAAAGCTACTGGAGTAGCTTAACACCCAGCTGATTGTTAAGGATCCTATGAGGATAGTATTGACTCCCAGATGTGGAGGTGGAGGAAGAATCAGTACTGGTGTGGGCAATTCTTGGTCTTTTCATAGCCTTTGTCCTCTTATCCTACAGTGTAAAGAGCTCCAAGGATTCATTCGCCCACTCACAGACCTACTGAATGGGCTGAAGATGGGTCGCTTTGAGAGAGGTAATATCTAATTACTTGTATTCATTTGGGTTAGGTCTTTTTTGTTTGTTTTTAAGTGTACTTCTCTTAAGTCATTGAGTCCAGGATTATTTCTTTTTGCTTTTATGACTTATTTGTTCTTGTTGTTAGGTGCCATTGAGTCAGTTCCAACTCATAGTGATCCTATGTACAACAGAACGAAACGCTGCCTGGTCCTGCGCCATCCTCACAATCCTTGCTATCTTTGAGCCCATTGTTGCAGCCAAAGTGTCAGTCCATCTTGTTGAAGGTCTTCCTCTTTTTCGCTGACCCTCTACTTTACCAAACATGATGTTCTCCCTCCTCCAGGGACTGGCCCCTGCTGATAGTACATCCTAAGGATGTGAGATGAAGTCTCATCATCTTCCCTTCTAAGGAGCATTCTGGCTGTACTTCTTCCAGGACAGATTTGTTCATTCTCTTGGCAGCCTGTGGTATATTCAGTATTCTTCGCCAACATCATAACTCAAATGCATTAGTTTTTTTTCAGTCTTCCTTATTCATTGTCCAGCTTTCACATGCATATGAGGCAATTGAAAACACCATGGATTGGGTCAGGTGCACCTTAGTCCTCAAGGTGACATCTTTGCTTTTCAACACTTTAAAGAGGTCTTTTGCAGCAGATTTGCCCAATGCAATACAGCCTTTGGTTTTTTGACCGCTGCTTCCATGGGCATTGGGTTCCAAGTAAAATGAAATCCTTGACAACTTCAGTCTTTTCTCTGTTTATCATGATGTTGCTTACTGGTCCAGTTGTGAGGATTTCTGTTTTCTTTAAGTTGAGGTATAATCTGTATTGAAGGCTGTAGTCTTTGATCTTCATCAGTAAGTGCTTCCAGTTCTCTTCACTTTCAACAAGCATCTACATATCACAGGTTGTTAATGAGTCTTCCTTCAGTCTCAGATTATTTGCTTGGCACACAGATTGAAATACTTATTCAACCCTACGCACACCTTTTCTGATTTTAAACCATGCGGTATCCCCTTGTTCTGTTCGAACAACTGCCTGTTGGTCTATGTACAAGCTCCTCATGAGCACAATTAAGTGTTCTGCAATTCCCATTCTTCACAATGTTACCTGTATTTTGTTATGATCCACACAGTTGAATGCCTTTGCATAGTCAGTAAAACACAGGTAAACATCTTCCTCGTATTCTCTGCTTTCAGCCAAGATCCATCTGACGACATCAAGGATATCCCTCGTTCCACATCCTCTTCTGAATCCGCCTTGAATTTCTTGTAGTTCCCTGTCAATATACTGCCGCAACCATTTTTTAATTATCTTCAGCAAAATTTCACTCGTGTGAGATATTAATGATGTTGTTCCATAATTTCCACAATCTGTTGGATCACCTTTCTTTGGAATGGGCACACATATGGCTCTCTTCCAGCAGTTGGCCACATAGCTGTCTTTCAAATTTCTTGGCATAGACAAGTGAGCACTTTTAGCATTGCATCTGTTTGTTAAAACATCTCAACTGGTATTCTGTCAGTTCCTGGAGCCTTGTTTTTCACCAGTACCTCCAGTACAGCTTGGATTTCTTCCTTTTCTACTGTTGGTTCTTGATCAAATGTTACTTCCTGAAGTGGCTGAACGTTGCCCAATTCTTTCTGGTAAAGTGACTGTGTATTTCTTCCATTTTCTTTTAATGCTTCTTGCATTGTTCAATACTTTGCCCATAGAATCCTTCCATACTGTAACTCAAGGCTTGAATTTTTTCTTCAGTTGTTTCAGCTTGAGAAATGTCCAGCATGTTCTTCCCATTTTGTTTTCTAATTCCAGGCCTCTGCACCGTTCATTACAGTTCTTTGTCTCCTCCAGCCACCTTTTGAAATCCCGTTCAACCCTTTTACTTCATCATTTCTTCCAGTCACTTTAGCTACTCTTCACTCAAGAATAAGTTTCAGAGTCTCTTCCAACATCCATTTTGGTCTTTTCTTTCTTTCCTGTCTTTTTAATGACCTTTTGCTTTCTTCATATATGATGTCCTTGATCTCATCCCACAACTCGTCTGGTCTTCCGTCATTAGTGTTCAGTGCGTGAAATTCTTGAGATGGTCTCTAAATTCAGGTGGGATATACTCAAGGTCATACTTTGGTTTCGTGGACTTGTTTTAATTTTTTTCAGCTTCACCCTGAACTTGCATCTGAGCAATTGATGGTCTGTTCTCCAGTCGGCCCCTGGCCTTGTTCTGACTGATGATATTGAGCATCTCCATCATTTCTTTCCACAGATGTAGTCGATTTGATTCCTGTGTAGTCCATCTGGCGAGGTCCATGTGTATAGTCACCATTTATGTTGTTGAAAAAAGGTATTTGCAATGACTAAGTCTTTGGTCTAGCAAAATTTTGTCATGAGATCTCCAGCATTATTTGTCATGAAGGCCACATTTTCCAAATACAGATCCTTCTACTGTGTTTCCAACTTACACATTCCTATCACCACTAATTATGAATGCATATTGATTGCATGTTTGATCAGTTTCAGACTGCAGAAGTTGATAAAAATCTTCAATTTCTTCATCTTTGCCATTAGGGGTTGGTGCATAAATTTCAGTAATAGTCATATTAGCTGGTCTTCCTTGTAGGAGTATGGATATTATCCTATCACCGACAGTGTTGTACTTCAGGATAGACCTTGAAATGTTCTTTTTGACGGTGAATATGATGCCATTCTTTAATTGGTCATTCCCACCATAGTAGATCATATGATTGTCTGATTCAAAATGGCCAGTACTAGTCCGTTTCAGCTCTTTAATGCCTAGGATATCGATTTGCAAGCATTCCATTTCATTTTTGATGACTTTCAATTTTCCTAGATTCATACTTTGTACAGTCCATGTTCTGATTGTTAACAGATGTTTGCAGCTGCTGCTTATTTTGAGTTGTGCCACATCAGCAAATGAAAATCCCAAAAGGTTTTCTCCATCCATGTCATTAAGGTCAACTCTACTTTGAGGAGACAGCTCATCCCAGTCGTCCTGAGTGCCTTCCAACCTGAGGGGCTCTTCTTCTGGCACTATGAGACAGGGTTCTGCTACTATTCATAAGGTTTTCGGTGGCCAATTTTTTTAGAAGTAGATCACCAAGTCTACTATTCTACTACTTAATTTCTTTAGGTAACTCAATTTTAACTCCCATGTAGCCTTTCTTTACCTGACTAAAAGCTTGTTTGTCAATCCTTGATCCCTCTTTCTCTTTCTCTGACCCCAGGATTGAGCAGTTTCCAGCAGAGTGTGGCAATGGACAGGATCCAACGTATTGTAGGTGTTTTGCAGAAGCCACAGATGGGGTAAGTCCCTTTGGTTCTTTCCTCAGTAACTAGTAAAATGAGAGCGCTCCAATCCTGTTTTCTTTTTTTATCCGTAACAGCTTTTTTATGTCCCCTTCACAGGGAGCGTTATCTAGGAACACTGCTGCAAGTGGAAGGGATGTTAAAGATTTGGTTTCCTCATATAGCCGCCCAGAGGTCATCTTTGGGAGATAGCAGGCACCAGCTGACCAAGGTAAGAACTTACAAAGCTGAGGAAGAGGTGGGATGGTAACCAAGGAAATTAAGTGTGTATATAGAGATGGGCTTCCCTTTCTACTTACTTTGGGTATTTTCCTCTTTTTATCAAGTTTCTTTTCAGAGAAGGAAGTGTCTACACTTCTTTCATTGTCTTGAATCCTCGATGGTTTTTGTTCTATTTTGTTTGAATCACTGGGAAGAACTCCATGAGTTTTAATCCTGTTCCTTACGCTGCAGCTTATCTGCTTTGTGCATAGATATCTAAGGCTTTTTACTTGGCCAAATGATTCATTTAGAAAGATGCCTCAGCTTCTTTCTGCAAATGCTTTCTCCCCTGCTCCCCTCCAAAATCCTATGCTTCTCCCTCTTTTCACTCCTGCTTAAGAATATTTGTACCAAACCCTTTGGAAGCCTTTCAGTCTCTACACTGGGCTTCAAGGACTGGTCGCATGAGGTGCATCACTGGGGCATTGGGGAGAAGCACCTGTAGGGGGAGTGTTGGATAGATTCTTAGACTTAGTATAAACTTGACCTATTTTTTGTGCTTTCAAATAAGAGTATTTGGGCAGCACTCAAGTGATGGGGAGGGGAAAGTCTCCTGTAGATAAGGGCCAATCTTTTTCGTTTTCAGTCTACCACAATTATTGAGTACCTGCTGTAACAATAATCGATTTAAAAATAAGCAGCAAGATTCTGTCTGCCTATTAGTTTACACTTCATATACACATTAAATAACACAGAAAATTAGACTCTATAACACAGAAATTGGGAAGTGATGATTCTGCTTAAAAGCAGACTTTAAAGAAATTCTAAGAGGAATCTTTTTATAAATAGTGAGAACTTGTGGGACTGTTTGTTTTCTTTTGTTCATCTCTGGCTATCCAGTGCCTAATATAATATGTGGTACATAGTAGGTCATCAGGTATTTATTGAATAAGTTAAAGTATAATTGGGTTTTTAAAACTTCTACATAAGGACAATTTGGCAAGAACATATCTTGTATAAAACAAGGTACCTCTGGATTGCAAAGTGCGTTCCCAAGGAACGCAAGGTTTAAGTAACCAGGTGGAGCTAACCAGAAAGCTTTTCAACAACTTTTTGTCTTTTCTCGCCCTGTCCAGCATTTGCTAAGCCACCACACTAATCTAGCTGCTTCCTCTCCTGCACCTCCCCTGGAAAAGATGAACCAGAGACAGCTCGGACATCTAGTTCTGAAACAGCAGCAGCCTTGGCACCTGACAGAATGGCCAGCCATGGACCTCACGTGGATCCACACAACTCCAATTTGCAACCCCCCTTTCAGTTCCCCAGGTGCCATCTCCGTGAGCCATGGTCCTTTAGGCACTGCAACCAGTATTGGTGTCATCCTTTTCCTCCAGCAGGGAGCGCAGCCCTTCACGCATTCTGCCCCAACTCCTCCAGTTCCACCCACTGCAACATCTCCTGTCACCCCCAGTGATGCTAAGAAACTATCCGGAGAAGGACCTCACTGCCACAGTTTGCCATGACTCCGCCATCAGACTGGAACTGTAGCCTGTACTCTCTGGTCTACCCACCATGGCCAGAGAGATGGCCGTGGGACACCTAGAGCAGATGAGAAGCCATCCTCCAGTTGCTCAGCTTCTCAACCCCTACCCCAGGACTTGTAACTCTGTGGTTGCTAATTTCTGTAAATACATGTATATATTTTTTTTTACTCTTAATGTGTGCATTTGTATTGAGGGAAGATAAGTCCTTTCTGATTTAAGAAATTTTGTATCTAAACAGTTTGTTAATTGGAGGAAAATTGAAAACCTGCCTGGAATACCAATCTTTATTTCCTGGAGAAAGGAAGATGAAGGATAGAAATGTTTCTGACTATGAGCTTCAATTTAGAAGTCTGGATGGGATAATACAGGTCCTGTGGCAGAGGGAAAGGAATTCTTACTTTCCTGTCTGCTGCTGTCTTCCAAGGGAACACCCTTGGGACAGTGGGGACAGGGTTCAGAGTTGGGTTTGTTTTCTCATCCAGGCTCCAAGACAAGTCCCTCTCCCTTTGTATTTCTCACACTTGTAATCTCCCAACTGGCCCAGATTAGCAGGGTCTTCTGCTCTGGGATGGTTTTTTGCATTTGTAATCTACCAGTACTGTTGCAAGAGGAGGGGCACAAGAGCCAGAAAAGCCACTGTGATTGCCAGTTTTGAAGGAGGAGTGCCCTAGAATTGTCAGAGTGGGGTTCCCCTCAGACATGGGGCCTCATCCTTATCCAAAAAGCTGCAGCTGCTAGATGTATGCTGGACTAAGGAAGGCTACCTGGTGCTGTCAGGAGGAAAATGAGGTGTATGAATTTATCCACATGTACCCCTCTCCCTATTACTACTGTCTTTCTGGCCAGTTCCAGCTTCCACAAAACCATGTCCTCTCCCATCCTAAGCCTTTGCATATCGGACTATTCTGTCATTTGAGTCACGGCTTACTGGCTCCTTAGCATGTGTACCATAGCTAGCTGTACATTCCCTCACTCCCACCCCCATTTCTAGAGTCTCCTGTTCTTAGTGAATAATTGCCTCCCTTTATTTCAGAGAACGTGAACTCCTTTCCAAGGCAAACATCTCCATTGGTGCTTTTGATTCCATTCCTTTTCACCTTTGGAATTTCTGCTGTAGCAGTTATCCCCTCTTTATCTTGCAACTTTGATTTGTTCCCCATGATAATAATTTATTTTCCCTACAAGTGTGATCAGGTCCCCACATCTGGAAAACATCTCTCAAGCCTGCTTGTCCTCTTCCTCTTCTTTTCTCCATAGTTCTTAATAGAGCAGTTTAATCACACTGTTTCTGATTCCTTTCCACCCACTCAATCTTTAACCCCCTGCAGCTTAGCTTCCACTGCCAACAATTTACTGTTCCTTCAATGTCACTAATGATCCCACCGAATCAGAATAGTACAGAGCTGGAACTTCCACTTAATAGCTAAACCCAGGGGTGTTTACAGAGGCTACGTACTTTGTGATCTCTGTATCATTTGACACTCTTGATGCTGCCTATTGAAACTCTCCTCCCTTGGATCCCATGACAGCACACTATCTTGATTCTCCTCTCACCTATCTGGCAGCAACTTCTAGGCCTCGCAGTGACCCCACCTCCCCCCACCTGAGCGTGGCTATTCCCCTAGGCTTAGCTTTCGGCCCTTGACTCTTTTCTGACCACATTCTTTCACTTGAAGTTTTCATCGGCTTGTCATGGCTTTAATTTCTGCCCAAACTTAGATGTCTGCTGAAGCTTCATCAGTAGTATCAACTTGTCCCCTGAGAGAGTATATTGAATGTCTAAATTTCTACTGGAAAATTCTATTTACATATTGCTGACACTTAAAACTCATTGAGAATCTCAGCATTTTAGAGCCAAGAGGTACCTTTGGTATCTACTTCAACCTCCTCTTTTATAGATGAGGATGCTTGGGTGACTTTTCCAAGACAATGCATGGTGCAGAATGCTTGATTTCCAGTCTGCTGCTTTTCCCAGTGCTCACCCATCAAATATCTTTCCTTTAAACATGTCCTGCTCCCCCTTTTACAGGCCCCTCTGTTCTGCTAGTACCATCTATGATACCAGCTTTTTTCTAGGTAACTGGGCTTCAAAGTCAATGTTATTCAGTCACCAAATCCTTTTGATTCCTTATTTGGAACATTCCTTAAATCCGTTTCTTCCTACGCATTACCATGGCCACCACTCAGGTCTAGACCTCATGCTTTGACTACAGCAATAGTCCCTCGTACCTCCAATCTATTCTCACTGATAACCAGACTAATTTTCCTACAACAGTTCTTTGCATGCCCTTCTTTATTCAAATCCTTTAATGGAGCCCCACAACTTTTAGTCAAGATCTCTATTTCTTTCTCTACTTCCCTACATGATCCCTCTGTTCCAGCCAAACCAGTACCTGGCACAGGGTAGGCATTCAATAAAAGTTTGTTGATAAGCATAAGGATGCCGTCCTCTAGCTCTATTTTAGTATTTGCGACCTGGCTTACTCTGAAAAGGGCTTCAGTTTGTGTGTGTGTTCCTATGAGCATAACTGATGAGGATGCATATGAGTGTGTTTTCATTTAGGTACTCAAAGAACCTCATTAACAAGAACCTGCTTAGGGGCCTGCTTCTTCTTTCGAGCCTTTCTCCTTCTTGTTTTTCAGTAGCCATTAGATCTGAACTTATGTGAATAAGCATAAATGGATGCGTCGAAGTAGCATACGAATGAAATAAAGGGGAGGTTATTTCCAAAGCAAGGAGGAAAAGGGGGGGTTACTTATTTCTACTAGGTCTTTCTAGGAGGCAAATGACATCGCCAACTGACATTAATAGATTCTTTGACTCTAAATCCTACAGGTGTTTCCCATATTTTTATTTAGTGAAAAGGCCGCGACGATGACGTTATATTATAGCAAACTCACGATTTGTTAATTTCCTTTTTTAGGCAGGTGGAGAGTGTGAAGTTGTTTTTCATCCGGAGAGATATCAAAGAGTCAGTGTCCTTTCCAAGGAGAAAACAGGAAGCATGCTTAGGAAGCTTAGCTCATTCATTTTCCATCCACAAAAAGAAATGGTTTAAAAATCTCTTAAGGGTTTAATAGGACTAGGGGGTACGGAATGGGGATAACCTTCTCAGAGGCGGAAGGATGACGACTCCATGGAAAGGCGAGGAACCTGTCTCGGGGAAATTTAAAACAACGAGAATTTTACTATGTCGAGTGTAGAGTCCGGGCCCGGGGGGCTGAGAGAAGGTTGTCAACCGAGGCCAGGAAGACCGCTGCCGTGGTTTTCCCCGACTTTTCTCAGCCTCGGCGCCAGCGCGCGGCGCTGGCGATTACGTATTTCCGCTTCCGGTCGTGGGATGGCTTCCGGTCGACAGGAGCGGAGAGCGCGAGGTGAGGACGTTGTGCTGGGACTGGGGAAAGGAAGGCGGGTGTGTGCGCGGTTGCCCCGTTTCCTGAAGACTGAGACTCCCACCCTAAACCCTTTCCGGGGGCCGTGAGCGGAATGTCGGGGGAGGGGACCTGCAGCGTCTCTGCTTCTAGGGTCCTCCATTGCCTGGCTCTGCAGGTCTCGGTGGTGACGCCCTCACACCGTCTCTTTTCTTCCCTAGGACAGGGGTCGTATTGGCAAAGAGAGTGAGGGAGTCTTGATAACGGTTCGCGTGTACCGCCTTGGACCTGGGGACTTCCACGTGCCCCAGTTTCGCACGTCCCTGAGCACGTTGCATTTCCAGACCCGGAGTAAGCCGTGCGGTAGAGTGTGTCGTTTGTTGCATTTGCCTCTCACCTGGTCTCTCTGCTTTCTTCGCCCTTCCTTCATCATCGTTTAGGTACTGCAGAGTGAAGGCTTCTAAATCCAAGGCCATGGCAAAACATCTGAAGTTCATTGCCAGGACTGTGATGGTTCAGGAAGGGAACGTGGAAGGTGCATACAGGACCCTGAACAGGTAATTGTTAAGAGACCAGAGTCATGCTTAGACCAACTCTCTGGGAAGTGCAGTGGTTAGTCTCTCCCTTCTGTCGTAAATTGCTCTCAAACCACTGCCAGTCATGGATTCTTGAAACGTCTCAGCTCCTCAGTTTGCTACCTAAAAAAGTGAAGTTCTTCCCAACACCTAACCGTATATGAAGCTTATTCAGCAAGCAGTCATCCTTTTGATGATGAAACTGAATTCTATCCAAGATTTAAAAAAGAGTCAGCCCAAAGATGTAAAGTTCTTAGAGTGAAGCAAGGAAGTGGAAATATAGTACATAATAAACAGAAAGCTAAGGGAGAGATTGGTGTGGGACAAGGCTAATGAAAATGAATTTAGATTGGAGTCTTGGAGAAGCAAGCAAGAGATGGGAAGGTATGATAGATTTCCAGGAGGGTTACAACATAAGCAAAAATATACAGGTGAAAATCAACTGACCAGAGTGGAGGAGCTGGACTGAAAGGTTTTGAATGCAAGGTTTAGAATAGCCCTAATAAAAATTGTCTTAGTACTGTAGTTTCTGAAGCAAAAAAATTCCTGAGCCTTTGCTTATCCCTACTTGTAAGGTTTTTGACTTTCTGGCATGCCTCATTCATCATTTTCTCTTCCCAGTATTAAGCGGGTTTGGTGCCACAGTTTTGCTTGTTGAGTAAAATTATCAAAGAATTGTGGGAAAGAGCTTTCTTTCACAAAGGAAACCTTCTGAGAGAAGCCTGTCTTCGTGTTCTGTTGTCTGGGATTGTTCTAATCAGAGCCATATGTCTGTATATCTGCTTCTTCCAAAATTTGGTATCGTTTTTGTTTAATCAGGATTAGGTTTTTGCCTTTCCTGTTTTTTCTTTATTGTTTTTAATTTTATCTAAAATTCTTCCTGATCCTGGGTAGGCATGGGTGGTAGGTGAGGGAAGAATAAATAAATGGCACAAGGTGGAGGCACATTTGGATACCTTCTGCTGTCTGGCCTGGACTGGTACTATATCAGACCTTCTTGTTCTTAGAAATCTATTTTCAAATTCCTCTAAGTTTTTCTCTCTTCCTTTTTCTTTTGCGAAACAGCAGCCCCATAGATTTGTATTTTATTTTTTTTGTTGTAATAAAATATGTATAATGTAAAATTTGCCATTTTGACTATCTTTAAGTCTACAATTCAGTGGCATTAATTATGTTCGTAAGGTTATGCAATCATCACTTCTGTTCCCAAAACTTTTTATCACCCCAAACATAAACTTCGTTCCCATTAAGCACTAACTTCTCATTTCCTCTGCCCCCAGCCCATGGTAACCACTAATCTACTGTATGTCTTTATGCCTATGCTACATATTTCATGTAAGTAGAACCATGTAATATGTGTCCTTTGGTGTCTGGCTTATTTCACTTAGCATACTGTTTTCCAGGTTCGTTGATGTTGTAGCATGTATTAGAATATCATTCCCTTTTACAGTTGAATGATATTCCATTGTATACACATCCCCCATTTTGTGTATCCATTCATCTGTTCATGGACATTTTGGTTGTTTCCACCTTTTGGCTGTTGTGAAAAGTGCTGCATTGAACGTTGGTGTACATGTATCTGCGTTGCCGCTTTCAAGTCTCTTGGGTATATACCTAGGAGTGGAATTGCTCTGTTACGTAGTGTTCTTTTCAGCTTTTCGAAGAACTGCCAAACTGTTTTCCACAGCAGCTGTACTGTTTTGCTTTCCCAATAATCGATAAGGTTTCCAGTTTCTCCACATTCTGGCCAACATTTGTTTGCCATTTTTTTAATCTTTGTCATCCTGGTGAGGGTGAAGTGGTGTCTCATTATGGGTTTGATTTGCTTTTTAATGACGGATGGAAGGGGCTCCTGGTGACACAGTGGTTTAAGTGCAGAAGGTCGGCAGTTCGAACCCACCAGCTGCTCCTTGGGAGAGAGATGTGGCAGTCTGCTTCCATAAAGATTGATAGTCTCGGAAACCCTGTGGGACAGTTCTGATCTTTCCTGTGGGGTCGCTATGAGTCGGAACCAACTTGATGGCAGTGAGTTTTTTTTTTAAATGGTTAATGATGTTATGCATCATTTCATATGCTTGTTGGCCATTTGTACGTCTTCTTTGGAGAAATATCTATTCAAGTCCTTTGCCCATTTTTTGACTGGGTTGTTTGTCTTTTTGTTGTTGAATTGTAGGAGTTCTCTATATATTCTGGTTATTAAACTCTTATCACATACATGATCTCCAAATATTTTCTCCCATTCTGTAGGTTACCTTTTCACTTTCTTTCTTTTTTTGGGCGGGGGAGGGGGGTAGGGGGAGATACCAAATTAGTTTTATTTGAAGGAATGATACAAGTGAAAGAACTGAAGTGGATGTTTTGGTTCAGTTTATACAAAAGGTAAAGGTAAACCCAACATGCATGCACTATCTTGGTGACCATGGTGGAGTCACCCCTGTGGCTATGGGGCTGCCAGGCTGAAGCTTAGCTCTCTCCATCACTGTCTCCCAGGTGTGCTTGTCAAAGAGATACTCTACCAGGCCAGATTCTGGGGCCCCCATCTTGCGCAAGTTGGTTACGTAGTCGCCCAGTTCTGTGATGGATTTCACCTGCTCGTTTAGGTAATGAGTCTCAATGAAGTCACACAAATGGGGGTCGTTCTTGTCAGTGGCCAGTGTGCGCAGTTCTAGTAGTGACTGGTTCACACTTTTTCGAAGTGTAACACACGCTTGCATTCATTCCGCTCTCCCAGTCATCACAGTCTGGTTTCTTGATATCCTGAAGGAAGATTCGGCCACCTCGTGGATTCTGCAGCTTCATCAGTTTCTCAGCATGGTCCCTCTCCTTGTGAGATTGGTGAAGAAAATGTTTGGCAAAATTTTTCAAAGCCACATCATTGTGGTTGAAGTAGTAAGACATGGACAGGTAGACGTAGGAGGTGTAGAACTCCAGGTTGATCTGGCAGTTGATAGCAGCCTTCGAGTCATGATTAATTCTGGCACACCTGTGAGGGGGACGCGATCGTCACGGTGGCAGTTGAGGAGAGGTGATGGGGGCATTGGGGCGTTCAAGGGCGCAGCTGTGAGGAGGTGGCAGAAGGCGGGCTGGGAGTGGCCTGTTGGGAGGAGGTTGGCGAGCACCGGTTTCCATTCAAGATGAAGGAGGAGACTGCGGCGACTCTGTGAAGAATGTGTCTTTGCACTTTCTTGATAATGTCCTTCGATGCATGAAAGTGTTTATTTTGATGAAGTCCAATTTATTTTTGCTTCTGTTGCTTGTCTTTTGGTGTTGTATGTAAGAATCCATTGCCAAATACAGGGTCCTGAAAATTTACCCTTATGATTTGTTGTGAAGAATTTTATGGTTTTAGTTCTTATATTTAGGTCATTGCTTCATTTTGAACTAATTTTTTTTTTTTTTTAATATGATGTGGGGTAGGGGTCCAGCTTCATTCTTATGCATGTGGAAATCCAGTTGTCACAGCACCATTTGTTAAAAAGACAGTTCTTTCTCTTTTGAATGGACTTGGGACTCTTGTTGAAAATCAGTTGACTGTAGATGTATGGGTTTATTTCTGGACTCTCCATTCTGTTTCATTGGTTTATATGTCTGTCCTTATACCATTACCACACTGTTTTGATTACTCTAGCTTTGTAGTATGTTTTGAAATTGGGAAGTGTAAGTCCTCTTACTTTGTTGTTCTTTTTCAAGATTGTGTTGGCTATTTAGGGCCTCTTGCAATTCCATATGAATTTAAGGATCGGCTTTTCCATTTCTGCCAAAAAGACTTGGAATTTTGATAAGGATTACATTGAATCTATAGCTATTGCTTTGGGTAGAATTGACATTTTAATAATATTAAGTTCTCCACTCTGTGAACATGGGATATTTTTCTATTTATTTAGGTTTCCTTTAATTTCCTTCAGCAATATTTTATGGTTTTCAGTGTACAAGTCTTGCATCTCCTTGGTTGAAATTATTCTTAGTTATTTTATTACTTTAGATGCTACTGTAAATGGAATTGTTTTCTTAATTTTCTTTCCTGCTTGTTCATTGCTGGTGTGCAGAAACACAACTGATTTTTGTGTCTTGATCTTGTACCCTGCAACTTGGCTGAATTTGCTTCTTAGCTCTAGTAGCTTTCTTACGGAATCTTTGGGATTTTCTGTGTATAGAATCATGTTATCTGTGAATATAGTTTTCCTTCTTTTCCAATTTTGTTGCCTTTTATTTCTTTTTCTTGCATAATTGCTCTGGGTAGAACTTCCAGTACAATGTTGAATCACATTTGTGAAGGTGGATACCCTGGTCTTGTTCCTGGTCTTAGGGGGAAGGCTCTCAGTCTTTCTCTATTGAGTATGATGTGAGCTGCGGCTTGATCAATATCCTTCATGTCAAGGAACTTCCGTATTGTTCCTAATTTGTTGAGTGTTTTTATCATGGAAAAGCATTGAAAGCTCCATGCTTTTTAAGATTCTCTTCTTATAGGTGACTGGCAGTTTACACATGCTTTTTTCCTGCATGGAAGTATTAATTTTGGTCAGAAACAGAGTGGTCAGCATGACACCATGTGGTTTTCAACCATGGCGGCCTGTTAGAATCACCTGGGGAGCCTTTAAAAAACCCTTTGATGCTAGGCCCCACCCTGAGACTAAATCAGAATCTCTGAGAGGTGGGCCCTGGCCAGCAGCGTTTTTGAAAAATGTCCCATGAGATTTCAGTATGCAGCCAGGATTGAAAATCATTGTAATAGGTTATAGGCGTTTAATATGTGTTTTCATTTTTCTGTCTCCTGCACTTACCCAAGAGTCTGGCACACAGGAAGCGCTCAATTAATGTCTCCTTAATTAACGTAAATGTTCTTGTATCTCCTGTCAGGCCCTTATCGTAGAGTTGGTCAAGCGTTTCCACTAAAGTATCCTTAACAGCAGAGGACAGCGAAGAAACTCTAAGGTTCTGCCACTTAAGCAAAATGGAATTTCTTTTAAATCCCTCTTCTTTTT